CCGGATTAAAGAGAAAGATAAATTCTGCTGCTTCAGACCATAACCCAATAGCTGGTGGGGACTACAAATAAATGCCTCCTTTGGGTAGATTCTTCTGTAACTGTTCACTGTAGAGAGAGCTTTCATCTCCCACTACAGCAGCTGGCCACCAGCAGACCCACAACGCTGGGATAAATGGGTATAAGGGAAATGGCCCATCTTTGTATTATGTAGAGACACACACACAGGTTGGTGACAAAGGGTTTGCACTTAAAGACTGAATCCTTAAGTCATGCCTCTCTTCTTTCAAGCCTATCTAGGAAAGAAGGTTAAGAAATTAAAGTAAGAGGCATGTCTTACAGCCTGTATTCTCCCAGGCTGCTTCCCAATGCAGTCTCCATTTGGGATGGAAGTGAATGCATGTGCATGAATGCAACAGTCCTCCCTGCTTCATAAATAGCTCCCTCTTCCTGCACTCTGAACCTTCCAGGTGCAAAATCTAACAGATTGGTCTGGAATTGGGAAGGAAATGAGGCAGGCTGCTTGCTCCAGGCTTCCCATTTAATAAACATGCATCTAGATCTAATGGACAGTCTGTCACTTCCCTTTAACAGAAATCACCTGCTCCTCTAATAATCGTTAACCACACTGACAGCACATAGGCAAGGCCTCTCATCTTAATGCCACCTGCAGCAAGAGTAAAACTATCTCTAATACCTTTTCAGAAAAGCCATTTTCCTGCCTAAGACGAATGCACGTATACCCCATATGACACAGAATCAAACGTGCCCATGAAGAGAATAAACTGCATAGGAATTCTCTGTATTTATAGAATGCCTGTCATTTATTAGTAAGATCATTTCTCGTTTTCTCATAATACGGATAATAATCTCATGCTTCCTGTTGTGCTTTCCTCTGCTAGAGCTAGACCCCAAGCAGCTTTATGGGCCAGACATGCCTCCAGCTACACCTGAGGTGCAGCTACTTTCTAACTAGGAGCTTTCAGCTTATGCCAACACTGATGAGACCTAGAAAGTTCTTAAAGTCCCCTTGTCAGCATTACCAGATGCCCACCCAAGCCCCTGCTTGTCTCTTTGGCCTGGCTCTTGTTCTCCCTTCCCACACAATGATCCCAAACACAGCCCATCAAAGTTCTGCTTGCTACTGGCCTTCAAAAGCTTTCTTATCAACAGCATTCATTACTGAGGGATACTTGAGGTGAACGAAGAATTCTCTTAACAACCTTATGCAACCAGTTGGAATGGCTCAGTCATGATGATTTGGAAGTCACGTTGTACCTTACAGGTGGAGAGTGCAAAAAACATATGCTGGGAGAAAAGACCATACGCCAAAGGAACAGTGACAGTTTGACACCACAGCACTTCACGGCCCCAAGAGATACCTCTCAAAGCCTGGGATAAGCTGTAAAAGGAGATGCACAGAAAGTCTTACCCATATGCTAGTAGACAGAATATCCTAAGGAATCCCAATGTGTCCTTCAAGACACCTCTGTATGTAGCCACATACACCTCAACAGATCTTAGTCTTTTCAAAGCAGCCTGCTCCCAGTTCTGCTCCCCAGGCTGCTAACGTGTGGCATGCAGCACAATCAAGAGCTCATCCCTGTCTGAAATATGACACGTTCTCTTGCTCTCCTATCTGTGCTGAAGCTCTTCTGCAATTCCTGTGCTGCAACTGTTTTCTGGTAACCGTGCACTAAAGCTTTGCAGTGAATTACTCTCGGCTAAAGCAGAACTCAACTGTCCTTCACAAACACTCCCTCTGTGGGGGAGCAGCCACACGCAAAGTACTCAAGAGAAAACAAGGACATAGGAGGACTGGATCTACTCCAAGGCAATCCCTAGATCTAACGAACCTCATGGGGCTACTGATGCATAAACTGGGAGTTAGGATGGAGGATGTAAATGATGCATCTTAGACGGTTGTACAGGGATAAACTGGGCCCTTGCTGTTTGTCCAGTCTTTATCTCCACAGTACAAGAGCACATCAGTCATTTGCAGCGCTCTCTTCACAGCATGCCTGTGTGGGAGGGAAACTTGCACATCCCATTTTGCAAACAGGGAGGTGAAACAAAAGGAGCAGTGTATTGTTTTCCTGTTTCTCCCCAAAGTCAAACAGGAGGTCTGCAGGTGAGTTGAACTGAAACTCTTATCTCCCAAACTTTGAGTTTCTCAGCTATCTGCCCTTTACTAGAAGGAGAAACACCTCTGCAATCAGCCAGGCTGATGGCATCTCAACACATCTTTTAACCAAAGACATCCCTTTGGTTTAGGGGGTTTCTGCTTCTAGTTTCAGTTTGAGGCCTGATCCTTGCTCACTTCATTACTGTGGTGTTCACTGCAAGGCACCAAAATACACTAAGAGGTGTGATTACAGTTCACACACCACTAAAGGTAATTCCAATGGTGGTGTAGCTGAAAATTAAACTCGGAGGTGCCCATGGAGCACTCTCTCTTCCCATCACTCCTCACTACTGTCTAGCCTACATCTGGAGGCCAAATACCACCAGCTGTATTTCAAAGACAAAAGTTCTAGAATATTCCCATAGTTCCCCCATAACTGATGAAGAATCTCTTTTCTAGAACTAAAACTGAACTGCAAAAAGCTGGATACAGGTTAGTCAACCCAAAGCACATTAGACAAAGATTAACATGCCTAAATGATACATGTGTTCTAATTAGAGAACGTAATCACCTCAGGCTTGATCATTATTGCTCCCTTTCTGTTTACCATTTCAGCTGCATTAAGGACCCTGGCAGTTCTTTCATCTCGCTTTCAGATTCAAGGACACCAGGTTTTTAATCATTGAACACCTTAAACACTATTTTCTCAGGAATCTTTGAAGAATAATTATTACACCAGTATAAACTGTATACCTCTGAAGGCTGTTTTCAAATCCTCTCATTTCCAGCTGCTGCACTTGTGTCAACAGATCCTTTTGGAAATCACACTGGGAAAGTAGCTCAGAAAAAGAAAAAGTGGTTTGTCATTCTCCCCCTATTTTTTCATCCATTTTGTTCTGGTGGAAGATTTTCAGCTCTACTCCAGGCACTGTCAAAGCTGCAGCACTGTCAGAGCGAGGGGGATTTTCAGTTGAGACAGCCCCCAAGGGCAGCATTGCCCCTGACAACTGCAACTATTTCCTCTGATTTAGCTTCAGGTTTCTTCTCACCCCTCTCTGCATACACCCACATTTCCCCTCTATGAAGAGATCTCACCCATAAGAAAAAAAGAATTAAAACTGCCACATTATTTGCCTTCCAAAGTCCTTTTCTCCAGTATTAGTGATATGCAGGGAGACATTCAGGAAGAGCTGGCATAACTTCTTGCACATTCACCAATACATGCATTTATTACATGGTTGGCTTCATGTGACTCTGCAGAATGCATAAATCTGGCTCAGAATATAAAAATAGCCCACTATCAATCTTCCTGCAGTGGCAAATGTAGATTCATTGGTGCAAGCAGAGGGAGCACTGGCAAAACTTTACAGCTGCTTCCATAAAGCTGTCAGCAGTGAGGAAAAAAACAGGCTGGGTTTTAAGCTCAGGGAACAAAGACCACATCGGCAGCAAGTCTTACTGCAGGAATACTGATGAGATCCCACAGTCAGAGGTTTTGGGCTAAGATAAGGAAACATGGGTGTAGATCTGTGAGCTCTGCACCAGCACAATTCCATCAAGATGTTGAAAGTAACTGCAACTCTTCTGAATGTATCTACATTGCATTTGCTCTGCAATTCTTTGTAAGAGTCCTTCGTATGGCTGCCTACCAGACAGATAATCTGACATGATTATTCAGAACTGTATTAAAAGAAGGGGCTGATGTTGCATCTCTTGCTTCCCTCCATGAGTATCTTGCTGGCTGTTTTCAGTAATAGACTACAAGCAATTGTATCTATTCTTCTGGACTGAAAGCCAAAACTCCAAATGGGGTTCTATGTGCCAGCTGCTTTCATGATTTGCACCCTCTCTCACCACTTGAATGAGCCACAGGTGGGGGCTGGAGACCCGTATATACCTAACACTGAACTCTTTGTTTTGAGTCCTCTTGTCTTACAGATGCTAAGCATAGTTACAGCCCACAAAGCTGGCTAGGTTTAAGAATAGAAACTAGAAATTAAGCTCCTATTTTGAGCCAAATGATCTTCTCGTGAGCAAAAAGTGGTTCAAATTGTTCATGCTGTATTTTGTAGTTAGAGGCTCAAACTAACTTTAGGACACCATTACCATAAGCATTTTTTTCTTTGCCTTTTGATCACTGATAACTGGTACCTCTGCACAGCAGAATGAGGAGTACATGGGCATTCCCAGGCTCCAACTCCTATCTCTTAACTGACAGTGAAGTGACAGAGAATGTGCAATAATTCAATACAAATATTATGAAAAACCACAAACATTACTGACCCAAGCTGCATTTTTGATGCAGTTCACAGAAAACTGGATCCAAAGCCCTTTGAAATTCCTCTGAAAGCCTTTCAGAATCTGTTTGAACACTGCTGGGTTGACCTGCTGTGGTTTCTCTGTAGCGTGGCATGTATATTTTTGGTGCATGAATACCAGCAAGTCAGAATAAAAGCAGCAACATATCTTTTGAGACTGTGCCCCAGACACATAAATCAGTCAGTAAAAGACAAAAGGCTCTTTTCCCAAACTGGCAGCTTTTACCAAGACAGGTAACCAGTCTGAAGGACTTTAGTTTTTGTATCTAGAAAGTCAAGAGCCCCATAGTGCACTGCATACCATTCTTGGCTGCCCATCACACCTCTGGTCCTCTCCCAGTGTGGACAGGCAGCTACCCCATGTGAAGAAGTTACTGTATTTCCCATTCCAGCCTCTTCTCTCTTGCTAGAGGTAACCATCTCTTCAGATGGATTATCAGAGCATTTGTTTTTCTGATCTGTTTCTGTTAGGATGCAGACAGGTCAGATAGATCTACTGTTAAAACAAACCAGCTCTTTTGTCCAAGAAGGGCTAAGGAACATTGCTGGAAGAGGCAGTGGTATCCTTTACTGGTACAGTGCTCTGCAGCCTTAGGCAACCTCTGCACTAAATGGGGCATAAGAGCCTGTCCCACCCTGCCTCCAGGAAGGCAGTACCTGTTTTATCAGTACCAGGGTTCAGTGATACTCAGTGGGATTTGCCCTGCACAAAGTTGGCACTTCATGCCTCCAGGACTGTACCACCATTCAAAAGGGGCCAACAACTTTGTAGCTGTGAGAAAGGGGAATGCATTTTTGAAGGACTTGAATGTTTGGAAAGCCCCAGCACTGATGGATCACCTGCGAGCTTCCTGAGAAGTAATCCTGCCAGCCCAGCCCATAAGGCAGATCAGTGAGTCCCGGACTTCTTCCAATCTGGACTGCAGGTGATCTTTTGCACTCCAACTTCTCTCCATATAGCAGCTGTAGCACAGAGCTGGTAATAAAATCTGTAGCCAGTGGTTCATGCACATTTCAGTATTCCTCTCCCACAACTGAGCCTGGTAAATGGAAAAACAAATTTAAATCAAGACATAAGCCCAGGCTGATGCTATCCATATTGTTAACTGCTTGTCACAGGTATAGATGTATTCTGTATCCTTTGGGAACAGCACTTGCCATTTTTTCCTCACTGTAAAGCTGTAACTTTTATTGTCTCTGAGCAGGAGCTGACAGTGACTCCACCTGGATGATAGACATGCAAGAATGGAGCCTAGTGGTTCCAGTTTACTTCCTTGTACTCCTCCCTCCATTTCTCTCCCCAGCAACACACAGATTCTCTGACCTTATTTTTTTTCCTGCCTTCATTGTTGTAATTAAGGGGTTTGACTCAAAACCCACTGGCTTCAGAAAGATAAGGACCAAGTGCTAACAATGGTGTTGGATCTCTTGTGAAACCTGCAATGACACCCTGAAGGCAGCTTTTGGAGGCAAAGGTACAGATACTCATTTCCTACTGAACCAGGTTGGAGGTGGTCCTGCAAGAATCAGAGGTACAAATACATGGTTTTAGGTTTCTGTGGGGTTTTCTACATTTTTCAGCAACAATTTGGACAGGAAGGAATCTGCATCCTATTGAAGCCTGTTTCTGGTCCTCACTAAAGATACAGTTTAGTGGCTCAGCTTCAAAATAACCAATAGCTGAGAACAAGGCAACATCAGCCATAATCCTCAGTTACTTTCATGTCAACCATATAAAGAGAACTCACATTATATCACACCTTATTACATCACATGCAGGTGAGCCCTCATCACTTTCCTTCATTGCTTTATGCATGCTGGACTCTGCCTTATGTAGCCAGCCCAGCCTGTGACAAATAGCTTGCTTTAAGCTTTGTCATGTGTCAGCGATGCAATTGAATTCCACCTGAAACTCATATGGCCAAACAGCCCCATGAGATGCTCTGCTGAGCTTTAACATCTTCTCACAAGCAGCAAGGAGATTAGAATTGACAACTATTAAAAACCAAGTAGCATGAGAGAGACAAGACCAAAAAACCAGACTAAACTAACTATGAAACACTCAAGTGTGTCCCACAGAAACTCAACTTCTATGTTAGCACTACAGAGGACTTCAGAGATGCAGGAACAAAAGTTGCAGTGCTGTTGGTATTTGTATTACTATTATGTTCCTCATTTTCTCTCCCCTCTAGTGCAGTTTTCAGAGCACAGCTCAGCACAAGCCCCCCCAGAAGCAGTCAGGATAAAGGCATGCTGTCAACTGCGTATTTGTGACTGGATAAATCAGTACCTTCAGGGCAGGAGAAAGAAGAAATATTTCATGTCAAAATAGCTGACCCAAGATAGCTGCTTTAATGCAAAATCCCAGCACGAAGCACACTTTTACCCAGGTTTAAATAGTCAAGACAAACTGCAGGGTGAGTGGTACATGGCAAACTAGTGTTTTGACTGTACAGGCAGTGTGCTTCATTTCTACTGCTATTTATTTGAACCCGGTCAAAGACAGCTTTACTTTCCCTTCACAGGAAATACACAGCCTGCCAAAGCAGCAAATGGCCTGAATTGCCTTTAGTGGGCCTGTGGTTCTATTAAAGAGACACAAATAAACATGTCTGAGATGACGGTTGTAGTCTCAGCCCCAGTTTCTCTCATCCCTACTCCCTCTACGTACACCATCATCACAACAGTTAACTGTCCCAGTTCTGATCAACAGAATCCTTTATTCAAAGTAAAACTGGTGAGCTGAAGCTACTGCACGAAGTCATCAGTCACCACATTTCAGAGTGCTAACATCCTCTAATCACCAAACCATACCAAGTGGTTCCAAACCCCCATCCCTAACCCACATCTCTGAAGGAGTTTCAAGTTCTCCACCAAGCTCTTTGGCTTGGTCTGCATTTCATTTTCTGTTGATCATTTCTGTTTTCACAGCTTCAGGAATTAGAACTATTATGCACAAAAGGCCCCATTAAGATGATGCCATTTTCACTAATGAAAGAACTTTTAAATGTGTTTTTAAATATAACTATTTGAATTCTGAACTTTGAAGCCCCCATAATCCAGAGGGAATGGCCTCTTGACATCACTTTCCATGGTTTATCATCAATCCTGGTTCCCTGAGGAGGTCCCAGCTAACTGGTGAAGGGTCTAGAGCACAAGTTCTATGAGCTGAGGGAACTGGGGTTGTTCAGCTGGAGGAAAGGAAGCTGAGGGGATCTTAAAAGGTCTTTTCCAACCTAAATGATTCTATGATTCTTCATGTAGTTGCCTAATTTGCTAGGTAAATACCAGGCTGTTAACATTTTCCAAGGCACACATTTATAAATAGCATATTTAGAATGCACTAAACTTAATAGAATCCTCTTAGAAAACCTATTATACACTTTAATGTAATGTAAAGTTTTATTACTTTTTAGTAATGGCAGTGTTTGCTTTGCAGAATAAATTACTAGCTTCAACCTGAACCCAGCATTCCAGGCTTCTCCTCCAGCTTTGGGTCTGGGTCATTGGCATAATAACCAGAGATGAAGAGGGAGATTTGTTTGTGTTCTCTTGTATACTTGACAAAAAACATACTTCCTCATCAAATATTCTACTTTGAATTAGACTTTGAACAAGAAAGGTAATAGAAATGACAGTTAAAAACAAAATACTGGAGTCTCTTTTTGCACAGGCTTAAGCATCTGAAGCTCATACAGGAATTCTGTCTGTATTTTGTATTAGGAAGAATGAAAGCCTTTGAAAGATGACTATGAGGATTTTTAATGCTATTACTACTGTTACTACAGTGTCTCAGTGAGGTTCCCACTGTAGTAGGTCTTAGACGAACACTGGTCAAAAGAGCCTCTGTGCTCTGTCTTGTAGTAAGACACCAGCAAGACAGAAGATTACTCTGTTTTTTATGAGGTCTATAATTGTCCAGAGGAACATTCCCTGAATGCGAAATGCATCCCAACAGAGATCTGGGAGTATGTATCTCAGGGCCTTTCAGTTCTGTTACTCCATTTAGGAGAAAGCTCTGTTCTATTAATACTCTTCAACAGCCAGGGAAATTGAGGAACACAGAATCATAGAATAGTCAGGGCTGGAAAGGACCTTAAGATCATCCAGTTCCAACCCCCTGCCATGGGCAGGGACATCTCACACTAGACCACACTGTCCAAGGCCTTGAACACTGCCAGGGATGGAGCATTTACCACTTCTTTGGACAACCTGTGCCAGCACCCTTACAGTAAAGAACTTCTTTATATCTAATCTGAACTTCCCCTGCTTACATGTGTCATGAAAGCTCAACACAAAAACCGTTTCATTCCACTCCTTCACACTGTTAACATGACTGTACTCACAGAATGTTAGTAATCCATTGTAGCAGCATCTTTTCTTGATAAATATTTGGATATGAAAAAACCACAATGTATCTCCTCAAACAGAACTTGGCAGAAACCTGCATCAAGACAGACTAAACACTAATCCCATAGAAGTTTGCCTTCTCCCTTGTCTTCACATGCATGCACACACAGCCTCAGTTCTGTAAATTAAATCCACACATGGACATATGCAAAGCCCCACATTTTCACAGCAGCTCTGAATGCAGAACTGGGTGCCAAAGCTTTCCAGCCTTTCTGTGACTGCTCAGAGAGGAGCTGCTGTATGTTTGAGATCTGGCTGCAAGTGAATCAAGTTATACATATGCTGCCATAATGACATGATCAAGGACATAATAACTACCAATTGTTTTACATTTCCAAACTGAGCAATTGTTGCATTCTGTATTTTTTTAAAGCCTGCAGTCTCAGGAATAAAACCTCTGCAAACCATTCTGTGCCTTCCTGGAACTAGATCCCAACCTCTTCCTGCTGAGCCCATAGATCATTAACATTGTTAATGTTCTCACTAAAACTGTTTGGAGAATGTGACAAGTCTAATTTGTTACTGACAAACCAGCTGGGAGTATGTTTAAAATGCATCAGTCTTGCTGTTGTACCCTTTGCATGGATGTGTGGCTCCTGTCAGGTAGGCTTGCTATTTTGTTACAGACTATCTGTTATTTCATCAATCTTTTTAGCTGGTACCAGAAGGGAAAAGCCTTCATTTTGCTTACTTTCATTTCTGCTTTTAGATTAAGAAAAACTGTCTTTAAAACACAATGATCATAGCCCAGGGAGGGAGACAAAACAGCTTTTCAAGGCAAAGCCTGGGAGCCCAGAGGTGCCCAATTCCTCAACTAGAGCTATTTTTAATTATGTTTCATAGGTAGTTACCACCAAGTTAGATACTTACATCTACCTTTCCACCTTTAGTTTACACATATATCTCAAAGTACTGAACTTCAGCAGTGACTCAGCAGGGAAAAAAACAAAGGAGTATTTTAACAGCCTAAATATCAAATTTGGCACCAGCTCTTCACGCAGGAAGTACTTAACAGAAGGAAACAGCCCAGATGCCCATTCTCTCAAATCACCCACCTCCATTGCTTTCAGAAGTGTATTTGACCACTTTATTTACCTCCCCAGATCAGGCCAGGGTGGATATATCAGTCTTGAAAATGCAAGAGATTTTCAACTGCCGTCTACTTCTGATAATGAAAATGTGCTAAATCTTTCCAGCTTCTTAGGAGTTCAGCCCCATGTGGGATTCCCTTTTCCTCTATCTTTAAAGCAATGGAAAATAAGTAGCCTTCATGCTCATAATTTCCAGCAAATAATGTCAGTTCTGGGCTGGTGCGTTTGCCTGAACCAACACTGGTGAAGGTTCCCTCTTCCCCTCCACCACTTCTTCCCTTGCTTCTTCTGCAGAATGGCAATGGATCTGTTCACGCAAATGTAGAACCAGCTTTTGTTTTAAGCAATAAAGCTTATATAGAAAGTGGATCCTAAATTAATCTCAATGTTAATTTGGGACTTCTTACCTTTTAAGTATTGCTAGAATCACAAGGATACCAAGAGCTGATCAGAAAGATTCGTGTCTCCTTTGGTGTAGGGGTATTTATGTTAGTGCACACCCTGATAATTACTCAGTGAGAGTTCCAGACTGCCAGAAATACCTTGGGAACTCCCCTATGGGTGATTCTGTGGAGGAAAAGGAGAAAGTGAATATTAAACATACTGTAGTCAATATTTTTTTATCATAGCAGCACTGCTCCAGAGCCTGAGCCAATCTGTGATTTAGCAATGCTGAGTCTTTCCATCTCAGCTGTAACAATCTGTGCCTGTTGCTGCCTAACTCAAAAAAATCAAACCTGCTCTCACATTACAGCAGAGAAGATGCATTTTTCATTTCATGCAGTGAAGGAGACCACAGCTCCAGAGATTTAGCTGGCCTCAAAGCTCATTTGGAGCTAAAAGCCCTATGAGAAACCCATAATGAGAAAGATCTGATAGTTTAATGCATTCCTGCAAAGAAGGGTAATTTGCTAGGAAATGGATAGGATAATACCATTCCTGAGATCACCTGGAGGTTGGTGTGTTAAATTTCAGCTGTGTTGGTACAGAGGGATTCAATTAGGAATGGGTGATACAGTTCAGAGACATTCACAGACTCTGCGACACCTCTAGGGACACTCAGGTGAATTCTTAATCAAAACCTTAACATTCAGTTATTTTTCAGTCTTGATTCCTGCTTCTGGTCAGGATGATTCAGTTCAGTGTTGCATCTCAGTAATATGTGGATAAGTACTCAAAGCAAACCTCCAAATGTATTTATTCCTGCAAGATTCAAAGGCCTTGAATAATATCCTATAGTAATGTACATGGTACAGAACACAGTACTTGAACCATAGAACATAGAATCTAAATAGACAAGACAGGAAACCAATGTTGTCAGGTGGAGAATGAAGTGAGCAGCCACCAACTTCTCATTGATTCAGAAAACTGAGCACCACCTAAGGTAAGCAAATAACCAGTTGGAGAACCAGGAGGAGACGACTCCTGGGTGCACATTCACCCAAGCAAACATCAGTAATTCCACAGATTTGGAACAATGACCCCAGCTGCTACCTCATATTTCATATACGGAGAAGTGCCAATTTTAAGGCGAGACTGACTAGGAAATGAGATAGAATAGGAAGGAGAGAACTATCATTTCCTTCTAAGGATGCTACTGCAGGTTTACAGGAAAATAAATCCAGAAAGACCAGAACCAGTGAATTAAAGGGAAAATGCTGAAATACATCATGCTGATCACTTTGGATCAAATAAGAAAACAGTGTAGAACAAATCCACTACGTGAAGCTGGTGAGATGGGTAGAGTGAACTTCAGAAACATTTGTAAAGCCAGAGGTGGGACTAATGCATCTTTAGGATTAATGTAGTCATAACGTAACACTGCAAAGAGAGCTGGTCATAAATTGCTGCAAGGGCAGGAGATGACAATGGGGAGCCTGTGTGGGTTTACTGAACAACAGTATCATAGCATCTGCTATACAATATGGTTTGAACTTTGCAAAGCCCCACTGTGGTGACAGCCTCACTTGTCACTTGGGCTGCGGCACAGGTGACAGATCTGCAGCAGAGCTCAAAACCAGGCCTGTTTATTACTGCTCTTTCCCCAAAGAGAAGTCTCTAAGCCAGCTGTTCTCACTGGGACAGTGTTTCAGCAAACAGATCAGCTTCTACTTAAAAAAGCAGTAGCAGAACCTAGTAAAGGTTCCTGTAATAAGCAAGAAAACGTTCAAAATGAACTGTGGCAGCTCCAGTTAGCTTCCAGCATGAAGTGATTTACAAAGCAATGGAGAAACACTACACTGGAAGGGACCAACTGGGCCATCAAGCCTAAACATTCACGATGTGACAGTAACAGCAGTGATATCACCTATTAACCAGCACACCTGAAGATGCTTCTCCCTCTCTCTAGTAATATCCAAGACTGTTCTGAGAAAACAGAGTAAGACAGAGGTTGCTGCCTGTCTTCTGCTTGAAGTGTGCAAGTGAATTCAGCATCTATTTAAATAAACTGTGACCAAGGTACCAGGGCAGTGGCTAAGCTCATGTGTACACTTGGCGGGGAGGGTTTGGGTGCTGATCAGCTGGGAATCTCTCAGAGTCTTTTGGTAAAGGGAAGTTCTCCCAGATCTCTTGGGCAATGCAAGATCAATCCCGTGCTGTCATCAGCATAATTACTAAAAGGTAGAATGAAGTTGCCTTTGCAAACTGGAAATGTAGCAATTACGCTGATAGTCTGATTTGGACCAGGATATCATTGTACTTTGATTGTAAAAAGAGAAAAACAAGTCATGTTTTCCTTCCCTAATCATTCTTCTGCCTTAGCTTCTTTAGAGTATACGTAAGAAATGGCAGCTTTATAAGGATGGCAGAAACAGACACAAATTCACAACAGCAGCATTTGTTTCTTCCTTTCACAAGACATGTAAGCACTTGGCCACTCAAGCTCACTGGGCACTTGGCTGGTCATTCAGGCTGCTTATTGCAGGTATTCAGGCACTCCAGCTGCCCCTGATGTGGAGTTTAGGCATGTGAATAAATTTCAAGCTCAAGACTTGTTCTCACTTCAAATGACTTGTTTTTCCTGACAGATGTATTGCACAGATACACGCAACAAAGCATCATATAATTACCCAGACACCAGGGCTTATGTAGGGCTTGCACTCAAGTCTTTGTGCTTCAGTTCTTTAAGAAAAGTGATCACCTATTTAGTTCTTTCCTGAACTGTCACACACAGATTCATCAAGAACTTGAGAACAAAGTGTTTTGATCATTGAAAAAAAAGAAAATACAAGCAAAGCAAAGACAGTTGCAATGACATCTTTGATGTTTTATAGATAAGAGTCTCTCATGAATAACAGTCATTTCTTGTGTCATCTCTTCTCCAGCTTTGGGAGTTTTCATTAACTAAGATTAACACTAACTGGAAAATAATTAAACTGGCTTAGGGAGTGGGGCCTTCCCATCATCACTAATAGTAATTAATCAGCATCAGCAACAGGTTTTAATAGCATTAAAATTCTGATTCACTCTATTCCTCAGCCCCACATCATTCAGTTCTATTCTTAGCTTAAGTGAGTGCAAGACACAGTATTCCTTTAGAGAATATCAAGAGGACAAATAGAGGAACTAAAGTTAACTCTCATTTTCACCAGCTGTGTACAGAAATGCCATTTTTTCCTATGTAATTACTCCCCATCGTTCACCACTGATGTGTGAATCTAAACTCCTCTTTCAGGTTCCCTGTTCAGCTCCAGAAAAAGAAACTTCTATAAAGAAACCAAAATATGGAGAGAAAAAAAAAGGCAAAACTGGCACAACCCCATCTCTCGTTTCGGTTGTTGCTGTTTACTCACTGGCAACAAGCTCAGCCTAAACTCGGTTAAATCACATCAGAAATAGAGGAGGGCTTTTCTAACGTTATCTTCATTTAACTTCAATGAAACTGAATCTTGCGTCCTGAAAACAAAAAGGAAGAAAAATCAATAGTCCTGCTGGCACTAATGCATACATGACTTGCAGAGATGGAACAAGCATCTGCTCAATTTTTCTTCATTCTTTCTGATCACAGAAGATAAGTGATGCAACACCTGCTTTTGTTCTGGCTAAATGAGGCATCATTCTCTTCTACGCCACTCCATTCCTACTTAGAACAGGCAATTTCTTGTCAGCAGCCAGGACAAAACTACAGCCCTTGAGTTACTGAAAAATGAGTGGAAGGTGGAAGTAATCCCAAAGATCTTCTGTTCTAAAGCCTTATGTTGAAATACAGGTATATTTTATAGACAGAGAAGTGAAAATACATCATATTTTGAAACAGTAAGAAAGAAGCTTAGCAGCAAGCACTGGTCAAGCTTCTGATATAGCCAAAGTGGATATTGCATTGTTTACTTCAGTTAGAAGCTCTCATTTCCATTCATAAGATCCAAAGGCCTGATTCTCACCATCACTGCAGCATTTGTGATCACTGGTGTTCAAGTAGGAGTAATTTCACAGCTGCCCAAAGGAGCTGGACCCATACAGGATCGAGAAGCCCTACAATGCTGACAGCTGTGGCTATTAGGGATTCTATGTGTTTTCTTAAGCCACGTTAATTATTTTAGACAAGTTCCCTGCTTTTTGCCTTTTCTTGAAGTGACTCTCAATGCACTAAGTTACATTTCTGCCCTTCAGATGAGAGCTCATTTCACCAGCAGAACTACTAGCCATTTAAAAAACCCCAAACCCAATATGGTTATTCTGACCATACCTCTATCAGATTTACTACTTCAAGACTTGAGATGCAATGCAGAGATAAAAACAACCACCATTTCTGTCAGTGATGCTTGCAGGAAAGATTTGTACTCAGATCTGAAGCAAACCCATCAGTGAGACAGAAGCAGGACAGGAACTGACCAGATCCTCTGCAACTGAAGCAAACAGGAGTCCCACAGGTTTCAGTGGCCCAAACCACTGTAACTGTAAGCAAACCTAAGCTAACCAAAGTTGTCTATGGGGAAAAGACCAGTATATCTACATTTCCCCTCAGTGAGATTGCCACAGTTTTGTTCTATTGAACAATTTACTAGTAAATGCTGCTGGAGAGAGGAAGACTCCAGCTCCATCACTTACTCTGGGATTTCTCTGTGTCTAGGAACTCCACATGCAAAGAAAGGAGACACGTCTCCCCCTGTGGCAGAGTCAGTGATCTCAGAATTTTATCAGAAGGGGCAGGTCTAATTCTGTATCTCTTTACATCTATGGGGTTCTTTCAACTAAAGGTTCTGCAGTAAGCTCAGTATTACATAGCCTTCATTAGAGATGAACTAACCATTTCCTTATCACCAGGAACCACGTTTTACTAGTGCAACATCTGTTCCAAAGAATACATGCACTTGAGACCATGCAAAAGCATCTTGGCACATGATGGAAGCCTGCAAGCCCTGTATAACTGAGTTCTACAACTTGAAGATGCAGGGAAAAAAATTCCAGGTACTTCCTAAGCCTCTGAATGCAACACCTAATCCAAGTAATCCAAAAGCAATCTTGCTGGCAACCTAATTATGTTTTCTAAGCAGAAGACTGCAGTAACAACTTGTTTACATACAATTGGATCCCTTCATATGTTTGTATTGCGCTTATTTCTGAAG